TAATCAATTATATATGTATCTTTGATGAGCAATATTTTTTAAAAATTTAATTGGCTACAAAGATACAAAGATTTATAATGAATTAAAAGTATTAATGAAGAAAATAGAATAAAAATTATTAAATTAGTTTCAAATGATGTTTTAAATCTTGCCTCAATCCTTAAAATTTTATGGCTACGTGATTATAGTTGTCAAAACGATTCTTTGTTCATGAACGGCTCGTGGTTGCGCCTGTTTTAAAAAAAGACCGAACACGAACACACTTTTTGAGCTCGAAATATAAACGAGGCGAACACGAGCTGAGCCTCGTGTTCGCCTCGTTTACACCCCTACCACTTAATATGTGATTGAACTAATTAAAATCTTCAGAAAAATTTAAGTGTGACGATGAATTTTGAGCAGATTACATTTATTAAAAATTATTATTATTAGGTGTATAATATTTAATAGAAAAGATATATTTAATTTAAAAATTGTATGAATTTTTTTTTGGAAAAATAAAAGAAAAAAAATACATTATAATATTCTTATAAACATTTTGATTTCGAGTTTGACAATTTTTTTTTCAATGAAAAAAAAAATATAAAAGGATGCCATGCCATTCCTTCTAAACAAGTAAAAAATAAGGCATTTTCGTATAAAAGAATTATTCTATGTTAGTTCTTTATCATGACTAATTTAATATTTGATTGTTAGATTCTATTGGAAATGCTGATATCAAGAAGGATATCTTTATTCGGTATAAGATAATTAGCGGAGAAAGAACACCCTCTTGAGCTTGACTCTAATTCGACTTTGTGAAATGACTTCAGAGATGTAGGATAAATGGGAGCTGACGAAAGTGAAATAACACTACTTTTAATATTATTTTACTTTTAATTTGTGACACGGAGGCAGGTCCCTTCTTTTGGCTTATAAGTTCACCCCAGAAGATTGATCCTAGCGGAACAAATTATCAGGTGGGGAGTTTGGGTAGGGTGGCATATTTTTTAAAAAACAATACAGGTGTATTAGGATGAGCTCAACGAGAACATAAATCTCGTGTGGAACAAAATGACAAAAGCTTAATTGATTCTCATTTCCAGTGTGAACTTGAACCATGAAAGTGTGTCATATCAATCATTTGATGTCAGAAAAGTTAGAGGTGTCAAAAAAATTACCACAGGGATAACTGGTTTATGACAACCAAGCGTTCATAACTACATTGTTTTTTATCCTTCCATGTCAGCTATTCATATCATTGTGAAGCAGAATTTACAAAGTGTTGGATTGTTCACCCACCAATAGGAAACGTGAGTTGGGTTTAGACCATCATGAGCATGTTAGTTTTACTCTACTGATGATTGTGTCGTGATAACAATTCAACCCAGTATGAGAGACACAGTTGATTCACACAATTGGTCATCACATTTGATTAAAAAATATGTATAAAATCATTATAAAAGGGAAATAAAACATTAAAATTTTGCAACCAAATTCTATAAATTTATAATATAACAGTGTGTGAAGGGAGGCCCTATTATAAAATAGAAAACAAAATTTTTTTTTGAAAATTAGGAAAGAAAGAAAAACATATGGATAACACAACAACTGAATATGAAATATGTAATCACAGGAACATAAATAAAGAAGAAAATAGTTTTATTGGATTTTTATATTTTTCAAAATTAGAACTTAATTGAATGCAAATAAATAGAATAACAGAAAATAGTTCAAACAAAATCTCTTAAGTGTTTTAACTACAATTTTTCTAAAGTCAGAAAATTTTGACTTGCTTCCTTTGCAATGACACCAAAAACTTAACGTTCTAAATTTTTATAAAGCAAGTCAGTCAATCGTGTAAGTATATATGTCAATCTAGTAATATATAAATTATGAGTTCGTGTATCAATCTTATAAGGAAATTTGTCAAAATAGTCTAACAGAAGAAATTCTAGTTTACTAAACACTGAATCTAGTTGAAGCGATCCAAGCGCAAAGGTTAAAGTTCTACAATTCTAAAAGACAAAAAATAGAACAAGCAATAAGATGAAAGAACTACCGAAAGCAATGAGCAACTCGAGTCTTTTAGAGGGAATGAGGCTCAAGCTCCTGTGAATCGAATATGATATTTTCTCGATGTTTTTCCTATAAGTTTCTCTATGTGATAGTTGACAATTAGAGATATAATTATCGTTAGCTTATGTCTAGATCATAAGAAGTGTTAAAAACTATATTATGGTTAAGAGGGACTTAACCATGCAACATTTCCCAGAACTTTTCATATCCCCTATTTAGGTTATTGTTTCTTAATACAATATAACTGTTCTACCATGCAATCATGTGTTAACTTAGTTGTTCCACTAGGAGATAGTTAGAAGTCCTAAATGGGCAGAACATCCTAATTAGTAAAATCAAGAGTAAATGATGAGCATGAAAGATAAGATATGAACATCCATAATTTAATCACACAAATAATGTTTACGGGGGAAACTCATGGTGAAAACAATGAGAAATATCCTATCCTTCACAAGAGCATGAAAGAAATTTAGCTACAAGATATGAGCTAGAAAATTTCACTGATGACGTGGAAGAAAAATAGATGCAAGAAAATGCAAAACTTACAAGCAAGTGAATGCTCTCTACAATACACACAATCCTCACCATGCAATGACAATCTCTACATGATCTTCCTCACACACAACACTCAATGTCTCTCTCTCTCTCTCTCTCTCTCTCTCTCTCTCTCACACACACACACACACACACACAATCCTCTCAAAGCTCAAAGAAAAGAGGATCCTAAAGGATTTTCTCTTCAAGGAAGAAAGAAAACCCTAGGGGTTGAATTAGAAATTCTCCTTTGGATCTAAGAAGTCTCAAAAAAATATGTTGCAAAGCTGTCTTAGTGCATCCCTATGCATCAACTTATATAGCTCTTGCCAAAATTACTAATGCCAAAAATTATCAATTTAATTATGGCATGGTTGTGGTGTACTTAAGCCCATATTAAACATAATTCTGTCGATAGCATGCACAACGACGCCAAGGCCAAGTGTAATTACATCGATCATATAGAAATGCTAGTGTAATTATGTCTTATAGTGTAGTAATTACGTCGAGCCAATATTTTTCTCGCCAAATATTTTGGTTTGCAACGATTATCCAACCCTTATAACTTGCATAATATCCTAATTAATAAAACTTTAAAGCTTTCTTAGTGGAATTCTTAAATATTATATTCATGAAAATTTTAAGTGAATTTGTGTTGTTGAATTATAACTAATTGACTTAAAGATACTTTTGGGTAATGAAAATTTTTATTCACGTTGGATTCATTGCTTGGAGATTTGCTTAAGCTCATAAGAAGTGAATTAAAGAAAGAACGACTTATTAAAGTTTAATGAAAATTCAACCGTAATATAATATTTACACATGTTTTTTTAGAGAATAAAAAAGTCTCGCTTGAGAGCTACGAAAATCATTTAACTAAGTCCAAATTTAGATATGACATTACATTTTTTTTTTAAAAGGTTGATATGAAATTACCAGATGACAAGTAATAGGTAAGTTTAGGAAATTGATGTAAATCAAATTTGTGATAATTTCTTTTGTAAATCCAATGCCTTGCTTCCTTATGATGATGATTTAACGCTTAAGGAAGTTGTTTTTGATTTTACAGGTTTTAGGAGTTGAGCATGCTTCGGGGAGCCAAAACAAGAACTTACACTAAGCAAGAGAATTAACAATCCCCTGGCATAACTAGTGTAGGGTCTCTATTTGAAGGAGCGCTAGAATGAGAATAGCAAAATTGGAGGCGGTGTGATTGCGCTAGGGGGTGGTGTAGATATGTTAGTTCTCTTGCGTGATCCAACTTCATGTTTTGGCTCTCGAAGCGCACTTAACGATTGTAATCTATACAACAAAAAACACTTTCAATAAGCATAAAATCATCAAAATAAGGAAATAAACCATGAGATTTACAAAAGAAATCATCACAAATTTGATTCACATAAATTCCACTAAGCTTACCTGTTACTTGTCATCATGTAATCTCATATCTAAACTTGGACTTATCCGAAAGAAACAATTATTATATCCCTCGATCTATGCCAAATGGAGTCTGATTTGGAGGCGTACGCCAAACAGTCTGATTCAGATGTAAATTAGCTTATTCAATCTATCACGATGATAAGGATGCACTCACATAATCCATTTCACAAAATGAAGCTCTAAAAAGAAATTTTTATGCAGGTAAAAACTCATGCAAAAATAGCTTTATGTGAGAAGTTCTGCATAAAAATGTTTGTGAATCAACGTCGCACTTGTCACATATCACCCTAAATATACTTAAAAGCATTACTCGACTTCGAGAACAAAAATTCAAATATGATGAAGAGGTCAGGTGCAACAAGTCAACCACAACCATAACTGTGCATGAAGAACACACAAAGAATGCATTGA